GCAGAGATTACAGGCATACATCACCATGCCTGGTTTAGCTGAACCTTTTTTTGAATGTCTTTCATTCAGTTACTTATCTTCTTCCCACGGTGAATTTGAAGGTGGTATCTTGAGTTTGCCGCTGACGGAGAGAAGCGAAGATGGAAGAGAAGAGCTCCTCCTGGGGCTAGGAGCGCTGGAGCGGACCAGGAAGAATCAGAAAAGAAATTAGAATGCTGGGGTTCTGAGATGCAGCTCAGAAGAGCCTGACAGCTGCCAAGTGACAGGCTCACACCTTTTGACATCTTTGTTTACACTTTGCAAACCTTTCAGAATAGTCTGTTTAATTCTCATCACGGCCCTGCAAAAGCGGTTGTTTTGAGTCTCATTGTCCAGCCCAGGAAAGGAAGGCATTGCCTCCCAGGTGGCCACACAGTCGGTCAGCAGGTGGCGGAGCTGTAGGTGTCTGCTGTGTCCCAGTCGCCGAGATAATAAAAGCTGCGTGGAACTTGTCATTATTATGCAAAGCTGGGCAGGAGGCTTGGACTCTCCCTTGCAGGAGCCCATCTGTCTTTGCGCGCCGCCCCCTAGACTTAGAGGCCTGTGGAGAACTGAGCCGGGTGGGTGGAGATGTGTCCCCAGCCCTCGGTTCTGACAGTTTCTCTGCTCCTTCCTAGCCCGAGCCCTCCAGGCAGACCTCTTTCGGATTAAAAAACAAACCCCCTGAAATTATGGCCTCCCTCACACCCCGCCTGTCCCCGAGGAATCGCATTAATATTAATCTAGATGAATAATTTAATGCCCGAGATTTATTCGGGCCTTGGTGAAGGAGAACCCGCAGCTGGGTCGCGCTTCCATCCGGCCACCTGAGGGTTTCTGCGGCTAGGATTCTGCTGTACTCTCTACCCCAGAAGTGGTATGATAAGGGTGGGTGTGCCCGCCTGTGCGATGTGAGCCGAAGCAGGTGTCCAGAGAAAGAAGGGGAGCGCCAAGGCTTCTCCAAGGATTGGGGACGGAGGGGCATCCCGGGTCTCTGCTCTTGGCCCAGCAAAGGGTGACCCGGGGCCACTCAGACTCGAGAGGAAACAATAGAGACTCCTTAGATCCTGGGCTCCTGCCACCGGCTGTCCAAAGCGTTCCCGGACTACCGGAGGGCCTTTTTTTTTCTTCCCTTGGCTAATTTATGGCTGGAGGCTAGTGGGGGAGGGACGACAGAGGAGGGACAGCGTCTGAAGATGGGGGGCAGGGGAGACGGTTAAAGAAGTCGCCCCAGGCTGCGACGCGGGTGATGTCAGCTCTGGACAAAAATAGAGAGGGATCGCCTGCAAATCCCCAGCTCCGGCGGGGCTAAACCTTACAATCCCTCCCGGGCCGGCGCCGAGCCAGGGCGCAGCGGCCTCCACTGCCTCCCCCGGCGCGCACACACCAGCACACGCGCACGCACGCACACACTCCCCCGCACTCGCACTCCCGGTCTTCCCCGGTGCCGCTCGGTGCCGGCCACTCGCCGCACCGGTTTGCCCCCGGGTGAAACACACACAGGTAGCGGCTGGGACGCGCGGAGCGCGTTCCTGCAGCCCTGCGGCCAGCGCGATCTCGCAGGAGCCAGTGTGGGATCCCCGCAGCGCCACTCGGAGCGCTGGCCGCGAGCCGCGCACGGGAACGCGGACCGCGCGCGGTGGAGAGTCGGGACGTGGATTAGCGCCCGCAGCAGCCTCCCGCGCGCGCCAGGCGCTAAAGGGCTTACCCAGGAGGGGGGTGCGAGGGCGGGGAGAGGCTGCCCGTTAAATACCGCTCCCCGCCGCACTCGGGGCTCACCCAGCTCGCCGCCACCGTCGCCAGACCGTGCCCGGGAGGAGGGGGCGTTCCCCACGCCATGGCATCAACGGAAGGGTGAGAGGGTTTTTCTGGGTACCTGCTGGGAAGCGGGAGCCGCGCGCGGGGTGGTGCTGCCCTATCCCAGATGGGGACAGAGAACTGTGTCTCCGGACCTCTGAAACCCTGGCAGAGCGACAGCCAGGCTGGAGATGGTGGGGAAGGGGACTGATTTCTTTGGTGGATTAGCTGTCCTTTGAGGATGCGGGAGGCAGAGAATTGGATCTAATGGCGAAGTACCATGGAGGTGTGAAAAAGTGTGAAAATAAACCCTTTGGAGGTTATTTCAGGGATTTAAAAGCAATAAAAGATTGTCCGTGGTGCAGGAGACACTGTCTGGGCTGCAAGGTGGGGACCGGTTGGAATGAATGAGCCAGTACCAGAGCCCGGGGCGGGGCAAGGAGCAGCACCTGGCTTTGAACTCTGGCTTTGGGCGCGGGTGGGGGGCGGGGGCGAGCCCTGGCCCAAGAGATCTTTGCCCTTGGACGTTGGAATCTCCCTGGCCAACAGCAAGGAAGGGTGGAAGAGATTTGGGTGCTTCCCGAGAGGAGGCGAGAAAACCTGTAGCTTGAAACAGGGCAAGAGTTTCCAGACTCTATTGGGAATATCACTGGCTTCTTTATTTTGCCTGTGGCCTTTGGGTTGCCTCTTGAGGCTGCAGTTGTCACGGTGATCACTTCTGTAATATAGAAAGACAACTGTATTTAGTATAGGTGACATGGGGGATGCAAGAGCAACAGAGCCCCTTGAAGACTCATTCCAAGGCATCCTGGTCCTGTCTCCAACAAAAACTTTTCAGGCTTTCCAGAGCCTAGGAGTGAATCAAAAGAATGGTCGGGGACCCCAACTTTCAGGTTATTTCACAAAATGGCACTAGCTGCTTGCAAGAGATCACTGGATCCACACATGATGTCCAAAGCAAGTGTCCGGAACTTCTCAGGACTCTACACTGAGCCCCTGGTTCTGGTATTTTCTGGAGCATTTTTGATAGAAATCACCAGCTCCATAAGCTTTTAGTGAGGTGGTGGGTGGTGGATCTCTAAGCAGGAGTGGAAAGATGGTGTTCACAGCCAGACTTCTAGATTCCAACCCCAGACAAGGAAAATACTTCTAAAACTGTATCTGAGAGAAAGAACCCATTCATCTATTTCTCTCTTCCCTAGAGTCCTTCCAAAGGTGCCTGGCATCAGAATTTCTTCACATCGCCCTATTTGCCAGGGTGAACCTTTGAAATGATTACTTATCCAAAAAAAGATGCTCCAAATTGGTACTTGTTTGCAAGGAAGGTGGTATCTTGTGTTCAGACACATCTTTAGAGTTAAATATTAAGAACCCATGTAGCTTAACATCAGCATTCCTCTGTGTTTGATTTAAAAGGCTTTCATCTTAGAACAGGTATAAAGGTATTTCTGGCTACCTACAGGAGCCTTCTACAATTACTTCAGCCTTCAGAGTCTCAGCTGGAAAACCTCTTCGAAAAATATTGTCTTCCAAATGCTGCACCCAACTTACTCTCCACTCTGTTGGCCAGAAGGAGAAGGTAGAGACAGCAATACAACTGCTCAAATGTGCTGCCTTTTCCTTCATCCTAAGTGAGAGCTGCCAAGTGGTTTGACATTTAATGTAAAGCAGATGTGATGTGCAGGACTGAAAACCAACTCTAGTCCAATTAGTGCCATCCTGGTGCATTGGGCAGGGTTGGGAAATGATTGTCAAAGGAACTTGTATTTAAGAGATGAAAGAATAAGGGGGAAAAAAAACCCTGAAAACTGAGAAACAAATGTAGAAAAATATGTTATTATTTAGGAGCAGTAATTTGGTCAGTTGGAGACATTCTCAAAACCCTTGTTGTCTCCCAGAAGCCTTTGCAGAATCTCTGTTGCGTGGAATGCACCTGCTAGCTTCTCTGGTGGAGATAAAGAGACACAAATGGCCTTGGAGATGACTTTCAGAAGGCTTTCCCAGTGGAGGACTTTTATTACCAGGTTGTTTTCATGGGTTGGTGAGATCCGTTTGCCCCTTCTGATATCTTTGGGTAATGCACCCTGAAAAGGAAATTCAGGAAGAGTCCCCAAGCTGATCTCTTTTGTTAGCCTTTGTCTTCTAACAATATTAAAGCTGTTTTTCTGAAATATACATTGCTTAGAAGGATGCCAAAATAGCACTGTAATTACATGCTTTCAGTTTATACATGTTCAGCTCAACTCTATTCCAAAATACTGGGGGAGTGGGATGGTATATTAAACCAATCGATCTGGTGAATGTTTATTTGGTGATCAAGTTGCCATCAACAGCCTATGCTAATTACTACTCTTTATAGAATTATTAGAGGCAATAAATATAACTGTTTAGCACTCGTTTCAAAGCTTATTTGTATATCTTTATATTCACATCTTTCAATAGCTCTATGAAGTAGGCAATCCAATGAAAATAGACTTCAGGGCTCAAAAAAACAAAAACAAAAACAAAAAACTGTGTACAACGTCAAGCCATCTTTCCAGGAAGATTCTGGGATTTGGCAGAGCTTTGGGGTATCATCTGGAAATGTCAGTTGTCAGGAATGAGTATGAGAGGCATGGCTGGTGCTTATTGTCGGCTTCCTTTAAAATCTTTGTGTACATCCCTGGCAAGTTGCCCTTTAGAATATTTTATATCTGGTGTGTTTGATCCTTGCCCTTTTATAGACCATACCTACCACTGTTGGGTTACCTGAAGTTTCTGATCATGTTGCACTGGGAATATCAGCGTGGCTTTTGTAAAATTCAGCAGGAACTCTTCTAGTTTCCAGGTTCTGAGAAGGGTTTTCCTATGAAAGCAAGGTTCCTTTGACAGTTGCGTGGCTTTTGTTGTTGTTGTTCCTGAGTCCTAGGCATGGCTGGAATTACTGAGATGGCTTTTAGGTTCCTGACCCAAATTGGAAAGAGATTATAAGTCGCTGGTGACAGGCAAGCGAGTGTCTGTTATTGACTGGGTCAAAGTGGAGTGGCCAGATGCTGAAGAGACAACCATTTTAGAAATATGTTTCTGAGGGCCAGGGATGGCCAGGTCTCCACATATATCAGAGACTCCTGGCAATCTATCTTCTGATCAGCTCCCAGGAGCCAAGGGGTCAGGGTTGCACCAATCAGGAGGGCTTGGATTTCAGTCTGACTTTGAGAGCAAGTGAAACAGAAAACTGCTGACAGCAAAAAAGCCCTGCCAAGGGAGACCCCTGAATTTATGATTCCCAGCGCACGATGCTAAACATAGTGAGTGTCTTACCCGCCCCCCTCCTCTGAAAATGAAATCAAAGGGAGCAGGGGGGTGAGCTCGTAGAGTGGGCTTATTACGGGGTGAGTGGAGGGCAGAGGAGATGGTATCTAGAAGGGCTTGCGTATTGTATGCCTCAGGCTCCACTGGAATTCATTTCTTGTTTTCAAGAATATAGAAATTGTCTTCCTAGGGCTAAATGGATATGAATGGAGCTATGATAAAGCCATTCCACGTTTACCAAGGCAATCTCATGTGAGCAGTTGAAAGCTTAATTCTCCAGAAACAATTTCTAAATCCAAATGAGACTTGGAAAGTAGAAATGGCAGCTTATTACAAACCGAATGGCCACGTTGTTTCCCCTTTCTGTCATACAATGAGGCGTCCTCTCCTTGGGCGTCCACATTTTGTGATGTGTCGGACCTGGCCACACAAACAAACAATATTCACACAGCAACTCTGGGTCAGTGTGCTGTATCAGTTCCAGATATGCCTGGCTGCTTCACAGTTCAGAGCTCAAACACAGAGTAATTTCTTAACAATGCCCTGTGCACCTTCCCTCATGGCTGTATCAGCTGTAAAGGTGTGTGAATTTCCTCCCTGTAACGGCAAGCTCAATTGTTTTCTATAGTGAATTGTTTCCCTCACTGGACTGCCTTGTCTCTTGGAGTGAACAGAGTCTTCACTTTGATCGCCTGCTATCATTATTTTAATCTACTGAAACATGGATAGCTTAAAATCCTCTAGCATTAGTAGGCAGAAGCACAGATCTCAGGATAAAAAGTCTTAGTTAGGTTTGCATTTCAAGAACTTGTCCTCACGGTTTGAACAATACATCTCACAAATGGCAGACAGTGTCTGCCTACCCACAGCCACCCCTTCCCTGCCCTTAGCTGCTTGTTGTGGGGCAGGAGGCATGCTTCGGAGAAAGGGTTTGGAATCCAGATTACAGCAAATCTCTTTATTTACCAGGGCTGTGGGATGGCTCTCCCCTCCCGCTGCCCGCCCCTCACCCTGCAGAGCCACGTCCTTACAATGAATTAATTAGGGGGAGTGTTTAAAAATATCTCACTGGCTCCATCTCCACGTGCTCTCTTATTGATTGGAGGCAGATGGGCTGCATGTTCGTCAGCGGAGGAGACAACGACTGATATCTCACTATGAACCTGTCTGCTTGGCTTCAAATAACATCAGAGAAGACAATGGGCTTCGGCTATATTGACAGCCAGGGAAAGCAGACTCTTCGCCTTTTCAAGGGTATACCTTTGTTTTCATAGTTTTGCTGCAGTTTCAAGATTGTTTCTCAACGGCACTGATATTTTCTTTCATCTGTTTACTTAATGCCTCACTTAGACAAGCAGATGTGGTCACTGTCTGCAGAACTGTCAGCTGGAGTTATGGGTGATGTCGCCAGCTGCCTTGGATTATGGACTCATTGAGCAAGGGCTGGCCTTTGAACAGAGAAGGAAGGGAATGAACTCCACTTGGGCAGCTGGACTCGATCTGTGTCAACCCCAGTCCCCTCTAGGATGGATGATGGCAAGGACCTTGTATGAGGTCCTTGGGGACAAAGATGTAGATATTGTCCCTGTGTGTCATGTATATTAACGGATTCATTTAAATGGCAGGCGGGACTTTCTTTTGTTACATTGGTCAGGACGACCATCTGTCATTTGCTGTTCTTAATCTGTCACAGGACTTTGAATCACATGCTCCCACTCCTGGTCTCCAGCCTCTGCTTTCTCTTAGGATCATGGAACTGGAGACAG